CCAACTTTTTGTCTCCCTTCCATCCCTTCTGCTCCTTGCTCCGCCTCTTGCTCCGCCTCTCCTTCGTTGTCCTCCTTTTTTTCACGTTCCTCTTCCTTTTTGCATTCGCATTCGCGCTTCCGCATTGTTGACCAATGCTGAACGACTTCTTCAATAATTCCATGTATTCACGTTCTTCTTCCTGCTCTGCAGCGCAAGCAACAATCGACGAGCACATGCGAGCACGCTCGCGACAATGTCCATGTCGGATCACTCCCAAGGCACAATCCTCTCTCCGACCCCGTGCGTACTCTCCTTCCCCACCCACCATTCTATGCTTGGCATCCTCGATGGACTCACACCGCATGCCTTTACATTCCCCAGTGCCGTCCATGACACCATTTCGAATAACGGAAGCAGTGGCCACTGCTCACCCCTCCTGAGCCGAGTCCGGACACACCTTGCACATTACCTTCTCCCTTCAAGCCAGAACGTCCCGGAGATACACCTTGCAATCAATGACTCAGTTTACTGCACCTCCCATTGGACGCTGTAGATAGACAATAGAGTACATGCACACAGACACGATTTCGTCTGCAGTCCGAATCAGCTCGTTCAACACTCCGGATCTTGATCTGCATGTACCACTCACACTCGCTGTACGCTGTCACGGTGCGTCCATCTTTTCTTGCTTGTTGTCACTCGCTAATCACTCTAAACCTGTCTCACAGGCGCAGCTCTCCCTTTAGGCCAGAACGCCCCGGGAATACACCCCTCAGTCAACGGTTCAGTTCACCGCACCTCTGATTGCGAGACGTAGTCAGAGTGTACAGTGTGCACGTACAGATGCAGCTTCGCCTGCGGCTCAAATTAGCTCATTCAACGCTCCCTAGTGCACTACTCACTCACTGCACGCCATCGCAGTGCATCCATCTCCTCAATCCAGTTACCTACTCACGCTGACAACGCTCACGCCCACACTCTTAGCCAATCAATCTCACAACCTGTCTCACCCCTAATTGTTGTAGATTATAATGTATTTATATAATGTTTCAATATAATTATAAACTGTTATTTCAATAACAAACGGATATAAAGGAAAATAACTATTATTATGATATTAAAATGATTTAAGAGCTTTATAAACAATTATAATATTTGCCATAATTAACAAGAGTGATTTAACCTTGTAATTTTAGAGATCCATTGTAATGCATTTTATATATTGCCAAGGAGAATAACTCTTATTTATGTTTACAAATTACACAAATCTTTCAGACTTTATAATGAATTGTAGTACTTTCTCAGAAACCGAGATCCGTTCGAAGTGTTTTTACTTTTTTTACTTTTTTCACTTATTTTATACCATTATAAGGTAGTACAAGAATTTAGACTTTTTCCCGATGACTGCGAAGTATTGTTCAATTCTGATTTGGGGTACAGCCATTGGGACGAATTCCGGGTCAATACGAATTGAAGCTGAGCAAGGATAGGAAACCGAAAGGGAGGACATGCTTGCATGGTTGGAAGGACTAGTGCAAGTATATGTCAGATATCAAAAAGGGGAGAAAGTGCATGTGATCATTAATAAGATACATTGAATGTACAGATCAATGATGATCGTACCGCCAACGTAAATGATAGGATCAAGCTCCCGCCCAGAGCACAATAAATAAAGCTTTAACTTAATGGGTGAACCAATAAATTTTAATGGGATGAGTCATCTCACGAGTCCTTCGACATTATATTCTTACCAGATTGACAATCTTTCCTCATTGCAACCTGTAAAAGTAAAGAATGATAACCAGCCTGTTTGTTCTCGAATTGGGACAGTTGGGATGGTGATCTTAGAAATATATGTGTATTATATTCAAGTTTAGACTCTGACAGTCCTTCCACATCCTCAATTCACTATCTCAAGGTGGCACTTAGTAGTATTATCATTCTTCATTTCCAAACACATCCTGTGCACTACTTTCTTGTCGGGGGACAACGATTCCGAATGTGCATATATGTAGGTTTATAGAATGAACCTCCTCAATATTCACGCTTTTGTCGTCGCGAAGCAGAACCTAACAGAATTAAAGTTTTCCTTTTCCAAATATATAGTGAATACTGCTCACACTCGTTCTGAATATCTCAGATTCTGAAAAAAAAAAGAGTACAGATAACAAAGAATACATGTACCGACAGCTGCCTAATAGAACAAGTACTTATAATAACACAGGAATGCATTATATGAAGACGTGTGACGGAACAAACGCAATATCAGAAACCGAGTCAGGCTACTCGATGGTCGCGATACGAAGAAACTTCACACAAGTATCAGTCAAACTCCCAAAATCGGCAGAAAAAGATACTAGTGACGTACACTGCGTAAGTTCAACATCTTCACTATATCCTTCCGAAGTCATGTAACTAGACTCGACAACTACTACACCTCTTCCAGCTTCCTTCAAATTGAACAGCAGCTGATCCCCAAGAATGCACAAAAGTACAGGATTCCCTATCGAAAACAAAATAATTGCAGCCTGTGGATTATTAGTGGTGATGTAAGCTATTTTGAAAACAGCAACTGCAATGTAGCTTTGTAGATGTGAATGTTAATCATTTTAGGAAGTTCATTAAATATTATCATATCTTACTTACAAGCAATAATATATAACTTGATCTTGAATAATAACCTTGACAAGTCGAAGTCCCTTGAAAGTTGTTCGTCTTCGGATATATGCCGCCTTTCGGACAGACAGGTAAAGTAGAAGAAGCCCATTCGCCATAGGTAACAGCCTAAAGCCGATATAAAAACTCAGTATTTTAAAGAATGTTTGAACGACGCACCATGCAATTACTAACTCAAACGGTGGTCTGATACTCAAAGCACATATCGTTATACCCTCTGTCAGAGTCCTGGAAGTTACTGAACAGCAACGCCCTTCAGTTGGAATATAATTAGAGAAAGGTAAATAATCTTACCTTTTTCCAAATATGTGTAATATAAGAGAACACCAAGCGACGCAGCGGCTTGCGAAAAAAGGATAAACTTCAACCACCTATCCAGAGTCCTGTCTATGCAATATCAGGATTCATATTCGGTCGTAATGAATAATATGAAAGCACTTTGAGAATACAGAGCAACGACCCGCATAAGGAGAATATCTGTCAATTGAGCACGAACAATATAAATCATGGCAGTTAAGAATGTGCAATATTCCTCACAGTCGATCAAGACAAGCGTAAGCCAATCTGAGCAGGGCGGTGAGTGCGCACCGTTCGACTAACTGGTTAATACTCACTGCTGATTGCAACAATCCAGAATGAGCTAATACCTGAGAATATCATAGTAAAAATTGTCCAGGCAGTAGAAGCGTGGCGAAACTCACATCTAAAGGAAGAGTTTTCAGAATGGGACGGATACAAAATGATTCCTAATTACTCACCTTGAATGTGTTTCTCCAAAACCATTGACTATTGTTTTTGGGCATCAATGGCAACGTTTAGAGATGATAGTTTTACGTGAACATACAAACGATACTTCCAATAGCGCCTAACAGTGCGTTATAGCGATTCTGCTTGTGCATTAGATTTAGCGAGAAACGCAACACAAGGGCTCTTACTACAAAGAAGATGTAGGTAACGGTGGTGCAATTCCCGGACTTAAAACGGACAAGTCAAACTAAGGATGAAAAAAATAGAGGAACGGAAACAAACCCAGAAGTATCTCGTCTGCTTGAGCTATGAGTATCATCAACAGTATGGACAGAAAAAAGTCAGACCTCCTTGTCCATTTGCAACACTGCGTGTATTGTTAGGAATAATCAGACACAAAAAGATTTCTGCACGTACGGAAATAATAAAGTATAAGAGTTACAAATGCGACTGCGAAGTATTGTTCGATTCTGATTTGAGATACAGCGTTTGCCAATACTGCCGGACTGGGTGCCGGGTCAGCACGAGGATAAATATCCGGATAGGAGGACATGTTTGCATGGCTAAGAGGATCAGAGCGGGGGGAACAGTCGGACTGGCGCGAGGGTATGTCTTTATATAAAGTGAAGAGCGGACATGTGATGAATCCGACAGCCTTGCCAAGGATGGATTATAGGTATGTTAGATAATGTCGAAGGTGATCATATTGGTGCCCGGTACTCCATTACCATCATATCCTGGAGCGAAGAAGAGTCGACGGCGAAGATTAAGCTACATAGTTACTTGGGCAATCTATCATGAAACTTAGTAGTCCGGTGGTTCTTTTAGGAGCACACCGACCTAGCTTTGCTGATAGTTTCAAGCGAAATGGAATCGTTCTCAACCTGGCAATCAGTAAATTTACTTTTTGTACAACAGTAACTGCTCGAAAATCGGATCAGTATGGGTTGTCTTCTCTTTTATTTATGCGAGAACTTGAAGTCACTCGAGTAATTGAGGCATCAATGCCAAGAATGACTCCTGTTGTGGTGTAACGTCATGATGGCTAGGTAAGGAAATCAATGCAGTTTAGACATGCAATTTCACTTTCCTGTCCTCAATGAGCTTTGCTGTGCACTCTGATTGTACACTTAGCATGGAAGCATTCCTAGAGCCACTTCGACTCCATTGTCATTAGTCCAGTGTCTACCCCTCGAGAGAAGGGCATAGCAGAATCTAAAGCCGTGCGGTTATCATTGATAATCATGCAGAGCTTTTACTGCAAGCGTGGGTAGACCATTGTTCGGTGATGTAGTTTCATCTTAGTTGTTTCCGTATCGGCCGTCAGCGTTACAAAGTAGATTTCCGATATGTAAGGAAAAACCAACGGCAGTGAGTAAACTTAGCGCGGTGTAAAGCGGTGTTAGGAGTGACGGTGCGTGGAAAAGACTTGAAGAGATACAGTCAATGGCCGCCGCTTGTTATGATGGTGGCACGTTTCATAGAGTACTTATAGAAGTGGGTGTCGAAATGAGTAGTGTGTATGTCAGTGCTACTTCTGGTCGTTCGCGTCGGCATTTTTATGTATAGCATTATGTAATTTATATTCTTTCCTATTCTGGATATCCGTTAGTTTTTGACTCCGTTCGACGAGAATTTTTTTCTTCTAACCACCGTGCAGCAGATCCAAGGTTGCGATGCTCGCTACAAACAGGATGACCACTGGATCATCTTTTCTTGCGAGCGGGCCAAGGTCTGAGTATTTCAATCCCCCTCGACCGACTCTTGCCGGATCCGAACACCATCGTTCGAGCCGCGTACCAGAAAGTCAAGCAGCGCCATCTGATTTCTTCCTTCGTGGCGGATTCATCCCGAAGACCCCGTTCAGACGGGTGAGGGACGTGGTGACATGCTTTTGGGAAGCGTGGCGGGGATTGGGTGATCGAGTCCATCTTGTCTCGATGCTGTCATCGACGAGATCGGTTACCCTTAAGCTCAATTTGCGGCGCACCAAGCATGAGCACTCATTTGAGTTGTTCTGGTGTAACTCGATTCAGACTACTCTGGATCTGCTGTACTTATACAAATTTTTCTTGTTGTGTGCTCTTTGTGAGCAAGTTATTTAGGACCGTGTTTATTGTACTTGACTGTTTTTCTCAGTTTTGCAGAATACAATGACACAGCGTGGGCATTGATGTAACCCGAATTACTGTTACACTAGACTTGTTCTTATGAACATAGGTTATCTACCTACAACAACAAGGACGATCAAATATTTGAGCATGGATCATTCCCATCGAGGCACAGTGCGATTTTGTGAAGTGTTATCCAGCGCATGCACCATAACTGATACCAGAACCGCTGAAACAAGTTCAGTCATGTACTTTTTATTACTAAAATTACCATTAACTTCAATGAACAGAGCAATATAAGCCCTGATCAATATATATAGTTCAGCTAATTGTACGTAGCTTCGAGCAATCTCCAGATCCTACGCCGGGTTTCCAGCGTGCAAAGTTTGTCCGGATATCAGATTCGAGCAAAAATTAGGCTTGTTTGAATATCAGATCCAGATTCGGAGGTATGTACTATCGAGTGGGCCTGATATCTGGCGACCGCGAAGAAGTCACACCCGACGAACCAGAAGACGAACCCGCAGAGGAAGCACGTCGATGTCTTTGCATTCGTGAAGGGTCAATGTCTGGTAAACCCGCAAGACGTGCAAAGAGTGCAAGAACTTTTTCCAGAAAAAAAATAAGAGTCAGACATTCCCAAGTCAGAGAAAGTAATCCAGATATAGAAAAAAAGACAAGGAGGAAATGATGATGACATACCATCGACAACAGAAATCACACCTCTCAATTGCGTCCCATTCGATGGACCAGGCGACGTCGGCGAGCTTGGCAGTATGGGAGAGGACCCACCGGAATGAGGCTCCTCAGTGACGAAGACACGATGTGCATTTGCTGAGATGGTCATGGATGTCTCAATTTACAACACGGTAGCACGATGCAGGGACAGAGGAACGTACTGGCAAGAATCTTCTCTATAGCAAAACGAAGACTCGAGCTTGCGGACACGCTGTATACTATGACGACACATCGACACATGATGATGAGTGGAGTTAGTACTGATCGTACTAATGACAACCTCGATTCATGGACTTCGCACCAGGGTACTTGTCTTCTCCGTCCATCGAATATGGTTTCCTTTATCGTTATTTATTTTGACTCCAAAGTCCGACTCATTACTCCTCGCAAGTTTTGAAATTCATTTGTCAGCTCCCATCAGATCACACACCTCATTTCACAGCTCCCATCAAATCATGTGCTCTATCTCACAAGTCCGATCATTTATGCTGATCCCATTGAGTGTTCCTTGACTTCTGGTTTCAACTCCAGCTCTAAGATGGGAATCATGATACCAGTTACTGTCTTATTAACCTTGGTCTACAAAATTAACTAAGATTATGCAATAAAGGACCCGGGTCACTCTGAAGAAAAAAAGACTCAAACGTTGGTAATTCTCACGAACGACGTTCTGTATGTGATGAATCTCCTGGGCAACAACCCATTTGCGTTTGGCTTTACAAGCATTCTCCTGGTTCAACAGACTGTTGGCTGGATAAGCAACGCATATGAACCAAAATGCT